GGGTCTCCAGAAAGCCCCCGGATTTCGTGGGGCTGTGCATGGGATGGCGCCAGCCATCCCCCCTGCAGCCCCCAAGGGTGCGGGGCGGTTGGGAGCCCCGAGGGGCTGGCCTGTGTGCACGCTGACATGCTCTTCAGGAAATCCCATTAGGATCAGACGGCAGCCTCTCCAGCAAATTACAGGCTACTGCCCGGATCGGGTTTCGTTTACCCTCCAAAAAAAAATTACAGGCCCAACCAGAAGAAAATCTCCTCTTTATCCGGCACAGAGAGGCTTTGACAAGTGCGGGGTCTGCGCGCCGGCCGGGGGCAGGAAATCATTATCTCTGCTGAAAGGGAGACAGTGTTGTTGGGCGCCTGGAAACAACACCCGTGTTTCTTTGGCCAGGGCTTTGTTCGAGCGTGTGTACACACTGAGCGATCGGGTGCAAGACGCTGCATCGCTTCGCGCAGCCTGGCCCGCGGCGGGCGTGTCCGCGCGCGGCAGGCGAGGGCCGCGGCAGGCGAGCCTCGCAGGAACAACCAGAGCATCTGTGCTCGAGGAAGCCCCGGGCTATGACGTCCACAGACTTGGCGCTTCCAATCAAGGCCGGATTTTCACGTCTCCTAAATCAGGGGCAGGTTTCCCGCCCCAGCCCTGGCAGCTAGGTCTGCATCCCGGGGCCGGGCTGGATTATGGGGCGCGAGGGCCGAGGACCGCCTGGTTCGTCCCGATGCAACGGGGCCCCGATTTTCCTCCTCCCCGCCCGTTGCTGGACAGGAGCATAGCGAGGCCCGATGCTGCTGGGAGCAGCACCAGGCTCTGGGCCGCGGGTGGCTTCCTCGCTGGAGGGAACAGAAGAGGGAGACGCCTTCCTGTGGAGGCATGCTTTGGACAGGGATGATCCCGCTGACCTCTGGAGGGCCCTTTCCGCTGGACGTCTCTGCGTCTCTCGGACAGCCAGAGCCCTTCCCCGATGGCTGCATCCGCCCCGCTGCCCTCCCGCGCTGCGCCGTGGGACAGCCATGCCCAGAAAGTCCCCGAGCTCCCGTGTCCCGGTGGCAATTATCCAAGAGCCTCCGAGTGCAGGCCCCCAGCCCCACCCCTGAAGAGCTCTCCTAAAATAGCAGCAAAAGGAGGAAGGCAGCCCCCTCCGCCCGCACCCGCTCTTTGTTTGCAGGAAGTCAGGAGATAAGGCACAGAGCTGGTGCCAGAACGGTCCTGGGAGCGTAGCACAAAGCACGGGATCCTAAACCCCCTCTCCTGTGTGCCAAGCCTGGGGCCACCTGGACAGTCTCAAGCAGGGGACCGTCTCTCCTCACCAGCTGGCTCGGGCCTGGGGGGTGCTCAGCTCCCAGCAGGACAGGGCCCTACGCCACGGGGGCCCTTAGGACAAGCCGAGCCTGCCCAGTTCCCCATCTGAGATCCCCTTCGACGGCAACAGGGGAGGGGGCGCGGGACGCGGGGCCAACTTGCGCGCTGGAGCCCGCGCCGCATTTGGAGCTGCACAGAATCGGGACCCGAAGTTGGAAGCGCACGGCGGGACTGCCCGGCCCAGCACCCCCCTGCCCGCACGCCCGAGCCCGGCGGGGGCTAGAGAGGACACCCGAGCCCCCTTCCGAAAGCAGAAACACTCCCGCTGCCCTGCCAGGCTCCTTCGAGCCGCCTGGCAGTCGCCCCCCGGGCGCGCGCCCCCCACCTCCGCCACCAGCACCCCCAGGTCCCGGCACCCAGGGGGACCGGCGCGTCGCGCAGAGACCGAAACGCGCCAGCGCCGGGGGGGAAAGGTGGCCCGCGCTAAGCCCCACACGCACACGCACACGCACACGCACACGCACACGCGCGCGCCCCGCTCTCCGCTGCGGCGACACTCGGGCCCCGG